AAAGTGCCTTTATCCAAGCAGCAGGTTATCGGTGACAGAAGCCATATAGATGAGTATATGTCACGATGTAATCATAGGTGCTCAATAAGTGATTCTGACGATGGCAAAATGAGGACAATCTTGGGAATAAAGTGAAAGAAATGCCATTGAACACACATTTGTCTAAAAGTTATAGAACATTTCTAAACTAGGCTGTAATAAAAAAATTTTATTACACATCATTCAAAATGTGGACAGTCCAGTATAAGATACATAGTACAGTGTTCCAAAATGTATTAAGGAAATAAATGTAATTTATTTCACTGCTGTTACTATGTTTCTAGGGACTTTGGAGAGAAATTGTAGTAGCCTAATGGTAAACCTGACTTAGGGTTCTGGAAGTCTAGCTCCAACATTGGTGGGTTCCCAGCATCATGTCAAAGCCGTGCCAGACTGAGTATTAGGGTGAGGTGCCCGGCTGATGGCAGCCAACAGGGCAGACCTGCAGGGAATGTTGTTAGGTGGGGAAGCCTGAACTTCTTTCCTGGCCAGATCCTCCATGATGTTTCAGGGCAGCCCTAAGTATGTTTTAGGTAATAGTTTATCTCTCCTGTTGAGGACAGGACGAAGGTAATATTTATCTTTTTATTCTCAGGGAATGTCACAAAGTAGATTCTAGATAAGTTTGTTGGAAAAAAATAAAGTGTAGTTTATCCCTATCCCCATCGAGGTTTATTATCCCCACTATAATATTCTTAGTAAATATAGTAGCGCTATTGTTAGAGTCCCCAGATTTATTTAAATTTTTTCTTGCCTAGATTTTTTTCAGATCCTAATTGTTTTGTATCCTAAACTTATGGGCCACTATTAAATTTGCATAGTTGTTTCAAGCCAAAGGCTACATCCCGCATCTTGCGTTTACTTAGTTATTCACTGCCAACGTCTAAATCAGAGACGTGAAAAGGACAATTGTTTAGTGCTCTTTAAAGTCGCTGACCAAGATTAGTAGGGAAATCCCATTAGCTCCATTCATTGCATTTCTCATAAATCTAAAAGGAAAGCAAGTATCCAAAGCCTTATTCTTTAATAGTTCTTACTTGTAAAACCTTGACAGGGCTTTATTCTAAATTGCTTCCAAATGATGTAAAGAATACTGAGAAATATGATGGGTAGTGAATTGTGATAGTTTCAGTTGTCGAATAAATAACCAGAACACTAAAAGGGGACTAATCTTAAAGCAAACAGGATGATGGGCTATGATGAGGCAAAAAGAACAGAACCGTGGCATTCTTAAACTACCATCTGGCTCAATCCTCTTTAAGTGGGCAAGTTTGAAGAGCCTTTTATTCACTGCCCTAAAACTTATTCAAAGGGAATTGTATTTGAATATTAATTTTTCATATAGTTAAAAAAACCTCACCAAACCCAACCCCATTTTTGTAGCCAAAAAGTAATGTTTAACAAAGTAATGGGTGACCCTCTGGCTAAACATGAAGGCGTGGGGCAACCTTGGCTGCAGGTGTGGAGAGGCCACTCTGCAGCTTTTGGGCCTTCACTTCCTGGGCTCCTTCGTGGCTGGAGTAACTTATTAAAGTTGTCACCATGGTTTGAAATTTAGGCAAGAGGTGTAAAAATGAAAAATTCGTTAGGCAAAGAGTACGCAGTGATTTCTAGTATTTTATTTTACATTAAAAAATACTGTAGAATTGCCATATAGGATAATTGAGGCAACTGACACAGTAGAAACCATAATTTATAGTTCAAGTTGTGCTTTTGTGAAATTGTGAACCTATTTCATCACTTTCTAACAGACCCCTGACAACTGTGATTTCATTTAAGTCCTGGATTTTAAAATGAAACTGTTAAGAGGTTTTTGTTTTCCCGAGAAGGTGTGTTTGAGAAGCCTAAGTTGAATAAATAGGAGCCCACTACTTATCTTCAGCAAGATGCTTTTAAAAAAGAATTTAACATTCTCTGTGGTTTAAGAGACAAAACCAAGTCCTGCTGGCTTTGTGTGTTGTGCTTCTCTTACAGACTGCAGTGCCTTCTGTCTGCTTTAGGGTGTGGCATCTGCCATTGGGGAGGAGAAACTGGCATGTGTCGCCTTTTATAGCAGACTGATTTCATTGTGCTGGGGGCCTCTATTTCATAGCCTCTTGGCTCCAATCTTCTAGTTGACTTGCTGAAGCAAAAGGAATTAAAAGAGATTTCGACCTACATACCTAATTTTTTTTTAAGTTTCATGATTTTTCTATAGGAAAAAAATTTTTTTTTAAAGGGCCAGAGGTGAACTTGGTGACTCATTTTCCCTTTTTAGGATTAGTTGTGAAAATAAGCCACAAAATACGGCTACACTTGTACAAACTGACTTTGATGTATTTTATCAGTTTGAAAAAATGCATTTTTATGATTATATGTATATATTTAGTTTGACTATAAATGTTTAAAAGCATACATATGTAGTGGATTTTAGAATATATGTATAAACACATATACACAAAACAGACATATTTATATTTGCATATGAAAACTTTAAAAATTCAACTTATGTGGTATAATCATATAATTAGTATGTATTTGAATATATAGAGGAAGAAAATCCAGGACAAAGTGTCAAAGAGGCACACTAACAAAGATGTAGTATTCTCTTGGCAAAAACTGGTGATTTGGCATGAATTTACCTTACGGTTCTGTTATTCTCTCTTACACATGATGATATAACTCCTGTTTTCCAGTTGTTTGCAATTTGTTGAATGCAAATTTGTGGCTTCTACACTCTGTAATGACCCTTGGGTGTGCACCTGATTCCCCTTCCCCCAATCAGTCACCAGTTTTTCACATCTATCATTTTCTATTTAGTCATGTAATGTATTTACACTCGGTCAAGCAAACAAAAATAACCACTGCAGTTGAAATAAACTAAAATAGCCTTTATGGAAAGCTAAAGAATGAGATGATTTTAGAAAGCTACATTCTACCAAAATCATATGTATCATTTCAGCTAGCAGGACTTCTTGAAAGCTCTGGTTTCAAGTGCTTTCTCTCCATGAAAACTGAGTCCACACTAGTACACTAGTACAACTGAGCTATTGTTCAGGTTAAGAAGTCCTGCTTTTGAAGATATTCAAGATGTTACCAGGTGACAAATTCACAATAATGAAAACATTTAAGGCATCAAAAAGTGATAGAATAATGGATAGTATTTTTTTTTAAAAAAACAAAGCGTGAAACGTTTTTGCTCTAGGATTAGATTTGATGGATTTATATCATTACTGATCTTATGTTTATTAAATATAACATGTATTTCTTTTAGTTTTGTTTCACATCACTTAGAAATGAACCCATATCAAGAGGGTTAATTGTGCACATAACCTCTGAAATAGGGGGAAAGGCGTCATACAGATTTATGAAGACAAGAGATAAACCTTAGCTATTACGCTGCCAATAGTTAAATTTCCACGTGCAAGCTGTTGGGAGCATAAGGCACCACTCTACATATTTGAGGACGTTCCCTTCAGAGAGAAGACAGACAAGTGCATTGCAGGAAAAATGCTCCTTTGGGACTACTTCGTGTTTTCGTTGATAAGCCTACGTACACACATAAGATGCCTTAAAAAAAGTTATATCAACGTTATCTTTGGGCAGGTGCAGTCAATAATAAGCATATATTGAGTACCTGCTGTGTACAGGGCACAGCGCTCCTGGAATGTGCTAACCTTCACTTAAACTCTTTCCTAATTTTGCAGTTTGAAGAAGTTGTGGGAAATACGCTGATGGCTCGAAATCAAGGGAGAGAGGCTAACATTCTGAAAAATTACATAACTCTTGGGAGAGGCAGTACTTTTGCACAGATTGCCCAAATATTTTCTTTCTCCGCCGTCTCCTCTTAACCTTTGGGGCCAGCGGACAACTTTGTTCCTTAGCCCTTCTCCCTCTTTTGTCTTCTCGTCAGACTCGTTTTCCACCTTTGTATCGGGCCTTTTAGACGTGAAAACAAACACGCGACCGCCCGGTTGGCAAGGAGACGGAGGCACGAGGGGAAAGTGCAGGCTCCAGTTGCCCCACGCCGCCGCCGCGCTCCGGGCGCCTGCGGCGCCTCCCGAGCCCCCGGCCCGGGGCCGCCGGTGCCCGCGAGGGTGCGCCCG